CTCTGGCATTGACACTGGAGACTGCTGCCTTTGAGATAAAGCACATAAAAAGGGTCAGTGAAGTGCTGCACAGCGCTTTAAATGTCTCAAGAGTTTCAGCTTGGTGTGCTACTTGTATTTCTGCTGTTCTGTAACCTTTGAGTTGTCATCTCTCCCTCTTTCACGCTATTCTCATGGTCTCATCCTCAGGGCACTGCATGTGCAAGCTCTGACACTGCTATGCAGGTTCTCATGGGCAGGGATCACTAACAGTGTAACAATCTCACTCATTTCCCCTGGCTTCCTGTGGAGTTTTTACAGAGGAACCGAAATGTAATGAACAGCAAAGGAGATTAGCATCACCCAAAAATAAATATTTGCAGAAAAACCTGGCAGCCACCATTACTTGCATCTAATCTATACATAGTACTCAAGATAAAGATGCATCATGGATTCACAGACAATAATGCTTTGTTTGGCCTTTCTTTTCCTAATTAACTCCAGTTAATTCAGCTTGCTTTTCTGACTGAAGACTGAGCATGTCTGCTGAAACACCTGCCTTCAGGCCAAGAATTTGCTCTTGCACTGCTCAGAGTTTATGACTACAGGTGTGAAATTTGGATTCTTAGCCACAACATGCTTCACTTCACATTCCACTGAATTTACCTTTCTGTCAACCCATCAGCCAGCCCTCATCCTTACTAGTCAGAGTAGTTGGCATGGGCAAACCTGCCTGCAGTAATCCCCTGCCTTTCCTAGACAGGACAGTGATGCTGAACACCCCGGCTCCCAGCTGAGCTCCCTGTGAAGCTCCTGGTAAATCTCACTAGTTAGTCTTGACTTCTTCCCTCACCCTCAAGCATGTAAAAGGGCTCCCCTCTCATTCCACAGGATCTCTCTCAGAGTCCTTAAAAGCCTTTGGCACAAAAACCTGCCAGATGCCTTTCACCAATATTAATGACATTACAACAGACCTTCTCCATATCCCTGTGGACTCCTTTAAAGAACTCCACAGGTCTTGTAAGACATGACTTGCCATTAAAACACAAAGTTTATCCTCTCTCATGATCAACTATGTTTCTAATAATTCTCTTTTTTATTACAGCTTCTTTTTTCCTTGTACATAGGTCCATCTTACTAGTTCAGAATTCCCACAACCCCTTGTTAAGGACAGGAATCACAGAATTATAGAATGTTTTAGTCTGGAAGAGACCTCTAGAGGTCACCTGGTCCAACCTCCTACACAAGCAGGGACATCTCTACCTAAGTCAGGTTGCCCAAGACCCTATCAAGCCTGACCTTGAATGACTCAAGGGATGGGGCCTCCACTACTTCTCTGGGTAGTATATCCCAATGATCTATTACTCTTATCTTGAAGTTTTTTCTAATATCAATTCTAAAACTCTCCTAGTTTAAAATCATTACTTCTTGTCCTGTCACTCCAAACCCTTGTGAACAGTCCCTCCCCTGCTTTCCTGTAGCCCCTCTCAGGCACTGGAAGGTCACTGTAAGGTCCCCCCGGAGCCTCCTCTTCTCCAGGCTGAACAACCCCAACTCCCTCAGCCTGTCTTCATCAAGAGCTGCTCCAATCCCCTGATAATTTTTGTGGCTCTCCTCTGGACTCACTCCAACAGGTCCACATCCTTCTTGTGCTGGGGGCTCCAGAGCTGGACACAGACTCCAGGTGAGGTCTCCCCAGGGCAGAGCAGAGGGGCAGGATCACCTCTCTCCATCTGCTGCCCACGCTGCTTTGGATGCAGCCCAGGATGGGATTGGCCTTTGGGCTGCTGCTGCACATTGGTGGCTCATGTCCAGTTTTTCAACCACCAGCACTCCCAAGTACCTTTCCACAGGACTGGTCTCCAATAGACCCTCTCCCAGTCTATACTGATAGTGCTGGTTACCCCAGCCTAGGTGCAGGACCCTGCACTTGGCCTTGTTGAACCTCCAGAGGTTCCCCTGAGCCACCTCTCCAGCCTGTCCAGGTCCCCCTGGATGGCCTCTGGTTCCTCTGGCATATCAGCTACACCTCCCAGGTTGGTGTCGTCCGCAAACGTGCTGAGGGTGCACTCGATGCCACGATGTCATTGATGAAGATGTTAAACAACACTGGTCCCAGCACACACCCTTGAGGGACACCACTCATCATCATCCTCCATCTGGACTTTGATCCATTGTCCATCACTCTCTGGGTGTGACCACCCAGCCAGTTCTTTATCCACTGAACAGTCTACCCACCAAACCCGTGATTCCCCAATTTACAGATCAGGATGTTGTGGGGACTGTGTCAAAGGCCTTGCAGAAGTCCAGATAGATGATACCTGTAGGTCTTCCCTTGACTGATGCAGTCACTTCATTACAGGAGGCCACCAGATTGGTCAGGCAGGACTTGCCCCTGGTAAATCCATGCTGACTCTCTTGAATCACCTCCCTGTCCTCCATGTGCCTTAGCATTTCTTCTAGGAGGATCTGCTCCATGATCTTCCCAGGCACAGAGATGAGGCTGACAGGGCAGTAGTTCCCAGGGTCTGCCTTTCTGCCCTTTCCAAAGATGGGCAGGATGTCCCCCTTTTTCCAGTCACTAGGGACTTCACCTGATTACCACGATTTCTCAATATTATGGAGAGTGGCTCAGTGACTGCATCAGCCAGTTCCTTCAATATTCTGGGATGCACCCCATCCGGTCCCATGGATTTGTTTATGTTCAGGTTCCTCAGGCAGTTGTGAACCTTGTCCTTGCTTACAGTGGGACAGACTTTGTCTACCAGGTCCTTGTCTTGTGGGCCATTAACCTGAGGGCTGAGAAGAGTTGCTGGTGAAAACTGAGGCAAAGACGTTACTGAGCACCTCAGCTTCCTCCTTCTCTGATGTTACTGATTCACCATTGTTTGGCACTAGGGTGGGTTCACCTTCTTTGACCTTTCTTTCCTGATTTAGATACCTACAGAATCCCTCTTTTTCTTGGTATCCCTTGCCAAGTTCAGCGCTAGCTGCACCTTGGCCCTCCTGACTTTATCCCTAGAGAACCAGTGTCCCTGTACTCCCCCCAGGACACCTGTCCCTGGCTCAGCTGTGTGCAGCTTCACCCTGTTCTTTAGTTCAACCAGCAGTTCATGACCCAGCCATGCCTGTCTTTTTTCCCCTTACCCCATTTCCTGCACGTGGGGGTTCAGAGCTCTTGTACTCTACAGAAACCCTCCTTGAAGATCTGCCAGCCCTGCTCTGCTCCTTTATCTCCGAGGGCTGCTTCCCAAGGAGTCCTGTGAGCAGCTCCTTGAAGAGCTGGAAGTTTGCTTTCCTAAAGTTTAGGGTGCTGACTTTGTTTTTCATCTGTTCTATACCCCTTAGCACAGTGAACTGAACCAGTGCATCATGTTTGCTACCTTCCAGTGCCCAAGCTTCAAGGCAATTTTTTTAAGAGGTGACACACCCTATCCTGCTGTCTGTCTCTGATAATCTTTGCCATATCAGAAGCCCCAACACTGGACCAGTATCCTTATTATCTAAGGATCTGTATAATGCAGAGACTGGATTATTTTTCTTGTTTACCTCCAAGCAGGTTTTAATGCATAGCACACATCAATATAAACCAGGATTCCTCCCTATCAACTGGAATGAAAAAAAAAAAAGATACAAAATTCACAAAGGAGAACTTCACCCTTAGTCATTGCACTCAGGACAAACGCCTGCTAACACCACCAGCAACAGTCAGGTGCTTTGCCATTTATGCCCATGAACAGAGGCCTGTGAGGTGGTCAAAGGAAAGCAGCCTCTCACTCTAGTGAGACACACCGAGAGGAAGAGACCTGGAGTCAGTTCCAAGAAAGGTAGTCCACTAAATCAAAGGGGCCAGAAACACCACAAATTGTCAGCTGGAGTGGCAAGGAGCTATGAGCTGCTTAGGGGCCTCCCCAATGGCAGAAGGAAGGTGAGCTGTCTGGAAATGGCAGCCCCTGGCTCAGCCACTGTTCTCCACAGACCAGATGGCAGGACTCCAGTGATGACAGATGATCTCATGTCAATCTTTATTTAAAAGTTTAAGGAGCAACATTCAATAAACCAAAACTTTAAAAACTTGCCTAAACATCCAGACAGCAAAACAAAAATGGAAGTTTACAAACCCTGAAGCACCAGGGCCAAGAGTTCTGCCCACACTGCCTGCCTTCAGGGCAGCACTCCTCAAGAGCCTGGCTGAGTAACACAGCTGGGTGGAAGCACGTGAGGAGTGAGCAAGCAGTATCTACAGCTCCTTTCCAGCAGCACCACGCCCTGAGCAGGGCAGAGCACTCACTCAGCAAGATCACAAGTCTCTAACAGTAACTGGGCAGAGCCATGTTACTTAACCTTTGTCTCCCAGACACTCAGGGTGAAGTGGTTTAAATCTTTTTTGATTTGGTGATTTCTACAAGTTTCCCAGCATAGCTGGTTAACTCCTGCAGAACAAGCTCCAGCCACTGGCAGTAGCATACTTCTCCAAGCTGTCTCTTGCAGATGCCTCAGGAGCAGCACTCGTGCCACCAGGCATCTGCAGACAACAGATGAGATACCACTGCTCCAGAGGCACCCACACACTGCTGCTGTTAGAAGCCCCTGGACTGACTTTGAGAAACTTGTTTTGCCCAGAACTCAGCATTTCAGCATCACCAGCCCTGTGGGAACAGCTGCAAGTCAGGAGAGCAGGTGATGACTGCTGCATGATTTTGTGGCAAGTATTACAGTTTTGGTATTGGATATACAAGGGGTTCTTAAGTGTACCTACAGCAGAAACACCACTCTTCAGCAAGAGTGTGGAAAGAGAGTGCACTGCCCTGTAAGTCCTTAGACTGCTGTGCAGAACAACATTGATGCATTATTTAAGGCAAAATCATCTCTATGACCAGTATCCAAGAGCCACAAAAGTAAATATTGTGGGCTAATTTAAGGGGCTCAGTCAGCATCACAAAATAGGAAAGCACAGCTGAAGAACCATAAAATGTCAGCAAAGGGATAGGGAGCATTCCTTATGTGTAACTGATGTGCATTATCTAGTTTACAAAATACTACATGAAGTTGGTTTTGGAGCCTCTTCCTTGGGCTGGGCCTGCAGAAACATCAGAAGGTCTAGATGTCTGTAATCCAAAGTGCAGCTTGACAGTTCACTCCTTAGGAGCTTTCTGGGAAGAAGGAACCAACACTGCTCATGTCAAGCTAAAAAGACAAAACAGAAAGGAGATTTAGTAGATGAGTGCCACAACGTGCAGAAGGCATTTCAAAACACCAGGACAGGCAATTCTCAACCTCCAATTACAAAGGCCCAGTAGAAATTTCCCTTCCTAGAACATAAAGGTCTGTGAAGAGAGGGAAGCAGACCCAGCAGCTGCTAACAGCTAGCCAGAACAACAAACTTGTCAAACTGGCAAAGGCAAAATGTACACGCAGCCTGGTCTAGGTAGTTAAGAAAAGCTCAGAGCAAGTTTAATTATGACTCTGTTATGCTCAGAGACATCAGCCCTTATACAGGAACTGTAAAGGGGCAGCAAAGAACTCTTTCAAAGGGTTCTTCATTCAAGGAATTCCTTATTCTTTCCTTATGCCATAACCCATTCCCATACATTCTTAGGATAACTGAGAACTCAGCCACCAAGTCACAATTCATCTACATATACACCTAAACTTTGTAAAAAAACCTGCATGCAGTAAGGAATGGGGCAGGTCCCATATCACTGCCTCTCCAGGCAGAAAACAAGAAAACCTGCCTCCCATTAAAAAGTAACTTGACACAGCCTTTGACAGAAAGGCTTTTAAAAAAAAATTTAAAAAGGAGCAGCTTTCAGTTAGAAAGATTTAAGGCAGACATCATAGACAAGCTCCAAAGTCTTTTTGGCTCCAGAAATGGTTGTAGCAGGCATTTGAAATACTAATTTTATGGGTTACAAGAATCAAAAGCCAAGACATCAAGCAAAGTCTAAAAGTATTTTAAAAGCATTCTAACTTTTAAAACAAGATTTGTTTTTAAAAATCCATTCGAGTCATTGCTAAGCACTGAATAACTAAGAAAAAAAGTATCTGAAAATCAAAATAGATACTATTCTCACAAAAGGCATTATAACTGCAAAAAAAACCCTTACACTTTTCATACAGGACTAAGCAAGCTACAAGGAGACAAATCCTTCTAAAAGGAGGCAATTGTTGGCAGTAACCCAACAAAAAGAAAGAGGGTTAAAGACAGAAAACAATTGCAGAACAGCTAGTTTTATAGTAAAATCCTGATTGTTCTGATGATGATGACACACAGACCTGCATCCTCCTTACCTATCAATCAAGGAATCTCTCATGTTGGTAGCAATGGTACTTGGCTGAGCTTCGTTCAGCTTGAAGATGCTCTCTATGACAGAGAGCTCAGTGCTGGTGGTGTCCAGCCCACAGAAGGCACACCAGTCATTCACCACCATCCCCGCGGCGATCACCTCGCTGCCCCGGTTCACCGTGCCCGCCTGGCAGAGAGGGAGCAGGGAGAGCTCACAGGCTGTGCCCACAGCAACACCCCTCCCCACACACCCCTATCACAGCTCTTTAGTGGGGGGCCTCAACTGGCACTCCTACAAAGATTAAAATCTCTGGTGTCAATACAAAGAGTTCAGGTAAGATTAATGGGCAGCCTTTAATCTCTGCAGAGAAAACTCTGTAGCAGTCAGGGAACTATGACCTGGCAGGTAGGAAGCACAAAGGCACAGCAATTATGGAGTTCACAAGTACAACTGAGCAGGCACAGAGTTTTATGGCTTCCTTTTTTTAAACACTGCCTTTGGCCAGACCACAGACAATGTCACCATCAGCACAGCTTGAATAACCCCAGCAGAGAGATGTTTCAGAAGCAAACTGAAGGTGCCAGGCAGCTCATTCAGGCTCAGCAAAGACAGGGAAAGTGTCTCCTAAGACTTGCCCCATTCAAGTCTCCTCCTCATCTCCCACCTGGAACAGCTCTGCAATGGTATCTAGGAGCCCACAAGGTGTAAAACATTCAAGCTGAGAACTGGGCTGGGAGGGAGTGGCATGAGAACACAAGCCCAGAAATGCCTTACCACCAGTGGGACCTGGAGCAACGAAGACAGTTCATCCTGGTCATCAATTGATGTTTTGGGGTGCACAATTCCTCCTTGGTTACTGAAAACACAGTAACTTCCTACCAGCACTTGATCTGCTACCGTTTGTCTGAAAACCTCAACCTTCAGTACATCTGCCAAGATCTCTTCTGTCTCCTGCAGACAGAAACAGAGAATAAAGTCTTAGGTGAAACAGTATTGTAGAATTTGAAGTCAAGCTATTTCTGCATGCAAGCACCAGCTGGGATCCTCCCCTTTGGAAGCCTGCCTGTACTTTCACAATCCACTGCATCTACTCACTGCAGAACGTTTACCCAGCCTCTACAGGCCTGATGTTTCCAGTTACCTGTGTATGCTGAGCTGGGCCACTAAAACCAAGCCCAACACCACGCCTGTGCTGAGCAATGCTCCTCTCCCCTCTTCCTGATGATGCTGGCAGTCAGTCTATCAGTGGTGTCAATAGCTGTTCTCTGGCCACTCCCTGTGAGCCAGGCCTCTTCTGTCCCACACTGCTGGGACAAAATTTTCTTATCCTTCTGTACAGCCCTAAGAGCTTCCTTCCCCTCCAGGTTTTCACTGTGAACTACTCTGATGTCTCCCCCTCTCTGGCAATCTGACCTTACTTTTTACACTTGTTTAAAAGACAATTTGCTGCAAAGACCATTACCTTCCCTCCAACCCCTGCCCTCTTTTTCTGCCCTTTGCACTCCTAACACCAAGTCCCATTTCGTCACCTTTAGCCCAAACTGAAAGCAAACACTTTCAGTGTAGGAACCTTACAGGACCTTCACTACCTATAGCCACACAACACACCTATTTCTAATGCTATTAAGATATCAGATCTCAAACAAAAAGTAGCAGCAACTTTGTCTCCTCTGCCCTGACTTTAAACTTTCACAGAAGAACCTTCCATTTTTCCTTCATCCTTCTGCAAACAAGCACACTACCACACCCACGGCCTGCTTCAACTGTTGCAGATTTCAGCTAGCTCAGCAGCAGCTTGTAGCAACTGCTGTAGTCCTGACTAAAATCTTCTTTATTACAGTCTTTTTTCATTCAGTTTTACCTGTGCAAAGCAAATTTACCCAACAGCATACTTTCACATCCCTCCTATGCTGAGCACTCACTACAGCATGCTGAACAAGAGGGCTCATGCCAAACCTGGGGCAAGGTCCACATCCACAAGTAAAGATAAAGGTAAGGAAAGAGGCAGGCAGCAGAAACCAAGACAAAAGTCCAAAATCCAATTTTGAGACCTCTCTCTTGAGGAGAAAGGGAACAGAAGGCAGCACAGCCTCCTGGGACATTAGCTCTGCTGCTAGCACAGCCTGTCCCCAGCTACACCCAGCAACCCTACCAGCTACCACCCCACACTGCAGCCCCACCACGGCCACACGTGCAGGGGGAGCTTCCAGGAGTCAGAGCCACGCACCCTGTCGAGGTCTGGGTGCACGAGGGCCACGTAGTCGTTGCAGGCAGTGACGTTGCCCAGGGCAGACAGCCGCTCCTCCACGCGCTGGATGCGCACCGAGTCGGGCAGGCTGTTCCGCAAGTGCTGGAGCTCCTGGTCTGTGGTGCTGCTGGGGACTAACAGCCCGTGTCTGTTGCCTAAAATGGAAAAAAAAGCAACAAACAAACCCAAACCATGTTTCCGTGGGGTTTCCTCCTTTCCTGATGCTCATTAAACAGCCCCTGTCCCACCCTCTCCTCCCACGTCCAGAATTCAAGAGAAATAATGTTAGCGTTTAAAAACAACATTGCACCACGGTTAGGGGAGATCCAGGATGAAGCACAGACTTATTTCAGAGCAGAAAGGGGTGAACGACACTGTCTTTATTTGCTTTTCCAACAAAACTAAAGTAAGCCAGAAGTTCTCAATTAAATGCTTTAATGAGGAATTTCCTCTATAGAAGCCAATTGCCCCACAAAGCGTAGAGGTGCTGCTTGTTTGTGTTTCCTTACTGTGATGAAGCAGCAAGAGGGGATGAGCAAAGACAGGAAGAAATCTGCCTGACTGAATAGCACCTCACTAGCCAGAGACACTTCTCCTCGACTTTCATATTTGTTAAAGCCTCCACCCAGCCGGGCTCTGCCCCTCTAGTGCTGGCACTGAAACACTTAACCTTAAGAAGAACGAGATCTTCTCCCTGTTCGCTGGAAAGCCGGTGTGTAAGCGTCTTTAGCCTGCCCTCAAGCCCCGAGAGGAACGCCCTTTCCCCCACACACCCAGCACAGCCCTCTGGCCG